TAGCTGGGACTACAGGCGCCTGCCACAATGCCCAGCTATTTTTTGGTTGTAGTTGTCACTGTTTGGCAGGCCCAGGCTGGATTCAAACCTGTCAGCTCTGGTGTATGTGGCTAGCGCCTTAGCCACTGGAGCTACAGGCACCACCTTGAGCTAAAGGTGCCACCACCATTCATGTCAATGCCAGGTTTTTTGTCACATCAACTTTCCATATATGAGTCCAAGGCCATGAAAGAGACAAAACCCTTCCCATAAGAGCTGCATTAATTTGAGAATATCCAGACTACAACCTGATAATGACAAATAAATACTTGCCACATTCAGAAAATACACAGAAAAATTGAAAAGCACAGAATATCAGAATTAAATACAGTAATGGAGACAGTCTTTCATACAGCCAAAAAAAAAAAAAAAAAAAAAGGTTACACTGTATAAATGTTTATAATAGATTTAAAAGATTTCCATCAAGCATGGTAAAGTTTAAAAGTGAAGTAAAATGCTTGGGTAAGTAAAATTCATAATGAAAGGATAAATAGGAAGACTTAGTATATATCTCACATAATATTTTGACTGTACTTCATTAGTGGGATAAATATTTAGGATAAAAAAATACACTCACACACATAGAATCACAAAGAAAGTAAACTACATTCAGTCATTAGTACTGTTATTTGGAAAATGCTCTATGTATAAGAAGAAAGCAAATAAGTGCTTTTGTTACTACCGCTGGAAACCAAGGTTTTCAAGAATAATGATATATAAGTGTAAAATCAGAATAGCCAATGAGGGTTAAAGTAATATTCTTTAAGTATTTTTGTTGTTGTTGTTGTTTCATAGGAGGGGCTACATTTTGGGAATGTTGCTTTTGGAATTGCTAAGTCTTGGAGAAATATGCTAACTGTTCATTGTGTAGGGTGGAGGAGGAAGTATGCAGTGAGAAGGGTTCTGTGCCCCTGAGTTTCATTAGTTCAGACTGTCTAACCATTGTCCTCTATGTGTACTTTAGTTAATTCTGTTTTATGTTAAAGGATAAATAATTCATAATGCCCAAAGTATGTTAAAAGTAGAGGTAGCAGGCTGGGTGAGGTGGCTCACTCCTGTAATCCTAACACTCTGGGAGGAGGCTTGAAGATCGCTTGAACTGAGGAGTTTCAGATCAGCCTCAACAACAGCAAGATTCCATCGCTAACAAAATTAGAAAAAAAATTAGCCAAGTGCTGTGGTAGGTGTTTTGGACCATTGGAGTTTGAAGTTGCTGTGTGCTAGGCTGACAACACGGAACTCTAGCCTGAGCAACAGACTGAGACTCTGTCTCAAAAAAAAAAAAAAAAAAAGTATATGTAGTAAAAGAATCCTTTTATAAAAGTTCTTTTGTTAGTTTTCAGGAAGGACTGTTTTCTGGGAATGAGCTCTGTTAATTCACCTCTTAGAGCTAGACAAAGTCTTGTAGTTAGTTATTGGAACAGTGGAAGGAGAAGAGGAAGCATGAACAGTAGGGCTCTTTGCTAGAAGTATCCTCTTATTTGGAAGATGTATGTTTATCCTCTAACATACAGGATAACCATGGGTCTGCATGTGCATTTTTGGTAAAATTATCTGTGTTTACTGTGATTAAAGTTCATTTCTTATTTTGTAACATCTAAGTTTTAAGATGTCCTGAGGTATGATAAAAAGCAGAGGTAGTGAATTAGCCAATTTGCAATACCTCATTATAACTGATAGAAAGGTGCATCTTAGACATGACATTGGACCACCTCTGAACAGTGTGTGTATCAGGCCCTGTTCATCAGAGGACGGGTAAAGGGAGAGACGGATGTAGATGTGTTCATATTGACATCTTGATGATAGCCACTGATGTATGTGCATCTCCTTTTAGCTCTACCATAAGAGAGAATCACATTAAGTAATTTAATGGAAACAAAACTTGCTAATATTTTAAAAGTGTCAATCTGTTAATAAATTCTCTAAGAAAAAATTATACTTAGTGTACTCAGTTGCTTTATGTCT